CATAGATCCCCCTTCCACCCCATAGACCCCCCACAGTCAGGGACCCCCCTCCACCCCATAGATCCCCCTTCCACCCCATAGACCCCCCACAGCCAGGGACCCCCCCTCCACCCCATAGATTCCCTCCACCCCATAGACCACCCAGGCACCCCCCTCCGCCCCATAGAACCCCAGCCAGGGGTCTCCCCTCCACCCCATAGCTTCCCTCCACCCCACTAGACCCCCCCAGGGACCCCCTTCTGCCCCATAGAACCCTCCAGCCACCCATGGGACCCCCAGCCAGCGAAACCCTCCCCCATGGAACCTCCCCTCCACCCCATAGAACCCCAGCCAGGGACTCCCCCCTCCACCCCATAGCTTCTCTCCACCCTATAGACCCCCTCAGGGAACCCCCTCCACCCGATAGCCCCCCCCAGCCACCCATGGGACCCCCAGCCAGCGAAACCCTCCCCCACAGAACCCCTTCTCCACCCCATAGACCCCCCCCTTAGACCTCCCCCAGGGACCCCCTCCACCCCATAGAACCCCAGCCAGGGACCCCCCTTCGACCCCATAGCTTCCCTCCACCCCATAGACCCCCTCAGGGAACCCCCGCCATGCCATAGACCTCCCCCAGGGACCCACCTCCACCCCATAGACCTCCCCCAGAGACTCCATCCATGGGAACCCCCATTCCAGCCCCATAGATCCCCCCAACCAGAGACCTCCATGCCTCCCATCCGACCCCATGTCCAGCCCCTTAACCCCACAACCAGGGCATCCTCCCCCACATTAGAACTCTCTTCCAGCTTAAGAGTCTCCCTTCCTCCAGCCCCACCCAGCCAGGGAACCCCCACCCACAAACACCCCCCCACACAGACCACCGCCCCTCCCTCCATAGAATTCCCATCTCCTGTTGGAGAGGGGGGATCTCTCTGTCTCTGACCCCCTTTTCCGTTCCCCCCGCAGCTCCCCCAGGCCCAGCGAGCCCAGCCCCACAGAGCCGCCCCCCTCGGACCAGACCGCGCTGGAGAAGATGCCCGTTGTGCCCTCCTGCCCTACCCCCGGCTCTGCCACGCCTTGGATCCTGGGTCGCCCCTCGGCCGGGGCCCTGTCCTCCATCACTGTGCCCGTCCGGCTGGACGCCCTCGCCTACCTGCTCAACAGCGCCCTCTTGGGGGCCTACTCGGCCTTGCCACAGACGCCCCTCTCCGGCAGCCACGGGGCATTGGCCATGGGTCACGGCGGGCCTCCCCAACATGCACTGGGCTGCGGGTGTCAGCCACGCTACTGCTGCGGCCCCCAGCCGGCTCGGGTGGGGTGCTGTGGGTCTGGCGCCGTGGGGCAGAGCAGCGCCGGCTGCTCCCAAGAGATACCTGGGGGCCGCAGCGATTGGCAGGACTCCTCTGCGAGATGGGACCGGCGAGGGTCTCCGTCGCTGAGTGGCTGGGGGGAGAACCGGCGAGCAAGGGGGCAGAAAGATTTCAGTCGGCCCTGGGGGGGGCAGAGGCCGTGGGGCGAGGCGGACTCCGCCCCACGCAAGGCAGGACAGTGGGGGCCGGGGAGAGCCCAGAGCTCAGATTATGCGTCCAGGAAGCGGAACCAAGATGGCTGCCCATGGGACGCCCCTGGGGCAAAGAGATGGTCTAGTGGGGGGGTGAAGAGATGGGGGGAAACTGAGGCAGCCAAAGCCACCAGGGAAGATTGGGAGGCAGATTACGGGGGATCCAGCGCCCAAGGGAGCATCTTGGAGAAAACCCGGTCTTCCCAGCCCAGCCTCCCAGCTTCCCAGGAAGGAGAAGACTGGGAAAAGGAGTATGAGGAGTCCCCCAAATCGGCGCCGGGGGTTCCCCCTCTTCCACAGGTGGCTTTGAAGGTTCAACCGGCCTCCCTCCAGGAGAGGACAACGCCCCGCCCAGCTTGCAAGGACGGCAGCGTCTCCAGCTATCTCCAGAACCTCTTTGCCGACCTGCGCGGGGGGTCCAGCACCGCCTCAGAGCCGCGCCGGGGGAGACAGCCCCCTGGAGGTGCCGCCGAACGTGGGACACGGCTCCCGGAAGGAGGAGGAGGCCCGAGTGGCCAGGGGTCTGCCAAGCTCGGCGATTTCACGGCCCAGCGCGTTGACCTCCCCAGAGCCGCCGCAGAGAACGAGGACAGTGCGTGAGCCCTGCCGAAGCTGGGGCCTCATGGTTCTCCCATCCAACCGGCCACCCGTTGCTGACTCCACCAGCCCACCGGGCTCGGCCGTTCAGCCAAGGGTTGGTTTGTTGTTAACTCCGTTCTTTTTCATCCTCCAGCATCTACCCATCCTTCTCCATTCCTAACCTGTCCCAACAAGTCTTCTACCCATGATCCTCCCTTCCTAGCCCTCTTCCCATCATCCTCCATTCCTAGCCTTCTACTCATCATCCTCCATTCCTAACCTGCCCCAACAAATCTTCTACCCATGATCCTCCCTTCCTAGCCTTCTACCCATCATCCTCCATTCCTAGCCTTCTACCCATCATCCTCCATTCCTAACCTGCCCCAACAAGTCTTCTACCCATGATCCTCCCTTCCTAGCCCTCTACTCATCATTCTCCATTTCTAGCCGTCTACCCATGATCCTCCATTCCTAACTTGCCCTAACAAGTTTTCTACCCATGATCCTCCTTTCCTAGCCCTCTACCCATGATCGTGGACCCCAATCAAGCTTTCTATCCATGATCCTCCCTTCCTAGCCCTCTACCCATCATCCTCCATTCCTAGCCCTCTACCTGTGACCCTCCACCCCAAACAAGCCTTTTCCCCAGGATCCTCCATTCCCAACCTCTTGTCTTTCTCTGTCCAAAGATTTTGATGTTGATTTAGGTTTAAAAATGATCAGAAATGGGGGTTTGCCTAAAGAACAACAGAGCGAGCCAGATTTCTGTTGTGTTTGTCTCTTTTAATTGGTTACTTTCCAAGATTTGGCTATGAAACAAACCCAAATCCCCTGTCCTCGACCCCAGAGTGCCAGGTGACGGGCGTTTGGTATCTTTTCATTGCTAACTTGAACCTTTGTTTGTATGTCCGGGTTAGAAAACGAAACTCAAATTAGTGCCCCCCGTGTTCTGCAAATGAACGCCGTGGTTTGTGTCACGTGCTTTGCGTTGAGCGGACGTGTACATGTCACGCAGGGCTCTACCCTGCTTCACAAGATCAGGGCCTAAATTTCTTGATGTCAAAGGTCTGGAGATTAGTCCTAGCTTTAAAAAAAAACCCACAAAATATTCCGTGCATTTTTACACACACCCACCCCCGAATTCTTATTTTGTATCATCGCGTTTGGAATGTCTCAAGATTTCTGGTTTTCTTTCTAGGTTTAAAACCACGCCAAGGGCCAGGCTGTTTGGAAGTCTTGTTAGAGTTGACTCCCTGACAGCGTTAAGTTGTGTTTGCAAAGAGAGTTGGATTGTGAGTTGTTTGAACGTGTTGAAACGTTTCTCTGGGGAGATTACGGGTTTGAGCTCAGCTCTCTGTGTAAATCTGTATCGATGACATGGGTGAGCCAGTCACTCTGCCAACTACCCCAGATCTCAGGGAGTACAGTCAATCGATTGCTAAAATATAGATGTTAGGCAATAAAATTTCTCTCGGCTGTATGGAGATTGAAAAAGTGAGTGTCACTTATTGCATATGCTGTTTGTGTCATATCTGCAGTATAACTTCTGTGCACTACAAAGGAAAAAAATGGTGAATTTGACTTCCTGCATTTATGATCTAGCAATCATTCGAATCTCCCGTTTTCACCGCTGTGTATCCCAGAGAAATTGTATTGCACCTAGAACTCTGGCTTTGGGCTAGAGATTTATACACAGGTTTATACAAAACTTCAACCTGATTTGTTGCCTCTAAGACATATAGATGCAATCATAGAAATTTGCCGGTTTCATCTGTATAGCCCATGCATATAGGATAGATATAGCCCAGAAAAATGATATTGTCATGATCTATATGCAGAATAACTCTACCCATTCTCTGCCATGTGTAGAGATTAAAATAGTGAATTTGAATGATTGCACGTTTGAATGATTGCAGAGGAATTCTATTGCCCATGGAGTTCTGTCTTGTGCTATCGAGAGGTTTCATTTCCATATGGCTTGTTGCACATGTGACAAAGAGCTGCATTAATAGAAATCCAGCACTTGAATCTATATTGCATGTACATGATATCGCATATCCGATGTGTATGGCACAGAAATGATATTTTGCTGTGATCTCTGACAGGTTATATACCAGTGTTTCTCAAACTGGGGTCGCCGCTTGTGTCGGGAAAGCCCCTGGCGGGCCGGGCCGGTTTGTTGACCTGCCCCGTCCGCAGGTCCGGCCGATTGCGGCTCCCGCTGGCCGCGGTTCGCCGCTCCAGGCCAATGGGAGCTGCTGGAAGCGGCATGGGCGGAGGGACGTACTGGTCGCCGCTTCCAGCAGCTCCCATTGGCCTGGAGCGGCGAACCGCGGCCAGCGGGAGCCGCAACGGGCCGAACCTGCGGACGGGGCCGGGCAACAAACACGCCCCGC